ATATGGTCACTATACTTATTGGTGCAATATACCCTCATTGTAATGACTATTATCATTAGATTTGCATAATAAAAACTTACTAAAATGACTTTAATCAGTGTTTTTAATTCAGGGGTGTGACTCTAATAAGATTTTCTGGGGGGTCATTTTTATTTCTTGGTTTTTTTAAATTTTTTTTTAACTCCATAGTAGCTCTGTAGCTTGTACACAGGAGTAAAATCCATATGTGTTTACTTGTATATAGTGTGAAAGAGAGAGGCACCCATCTATATAAATTACATTCAGATCAAATTTGAGAGCTTGTCTCTGAAGAGCATCATTATAAATGAAAATGTATTCTAATACTGTACAACCATTTTCAAATGTGTTTTAAAGGTCAGTTCACATAAAAATTACTGTGATTTAATGTTATCAAAACACAGCTCTTTATGGTTCTCTGAACTTTTTTCTTTTGGGTGTTGTTTTTGTTGTTATTCTCAAGTCTTTTAGTACCCTTCTTTTTTTGATTAATATATAAAGACAATTGTGTGGCAGAAATCATTTCTTTTATATAGCAAAACATTTAATTATAACTTATACAATGGCTTCAATGCATTTTGAATATACAGTGGTCAAAAGTCACCTCTTCTGAAACTCAACCTCTTCATATCTGCTTAAAGATTTTCCTTTTCAAGGCAGGTCACAGTGGTTTATGTTTATAATAATCCTAGCACTTTAGCAGATTGCTTGAGTCTAGGAGCTTGAGACCAGCCTGAGCAAGAGGGAGACCCCATCTCTACAAAAAATAGAAAAATTGGCCGAGCATGGTGGCCCATGCAGGCAGTCTCAGCTACTCAGGAAGCTGAGGCAAGAGGATCGCTTTACTCCATGGGTTTGAGATATGATGAGGCTGTTACACTCTAGCCCGGGTGACAGAGCAATATCCTATCTCAAAAAAAAAAAAAGATTTTCCTTTTCAATAGACTTTTTCTTCTGAACAGTTGTAGAGTTCTAAATAATGTTATCATAGTTGTGAAGTGGGATATTTATGAAAGCACATTTTTACATGAGGGAAATCTATGAGAAAATATCAATATTAGATTAAATGTACCTAGTTATGTAGGCTATACACACTGTGGTTGAATGAAATTTATAAATCAAGAAATCAGAGGTAGTGTTTTTCTTTATAGTTCTCTATCACAAGTAATTGGGATAATTTTTTACATGGGTATAATTTCCTATGTGCCTTGGGGCACTCTATCATTCTTGAAGATGTCTGTTAGGAAAACCATAATTATTTTTTTTTTTGCTTTTGAGATATTATCTTGCTCTGTCACTCAAGCTGAAGTGCAGTGGCCTGATCATAGCTCACTGTAGCCTTGAACTCCTGGGCTCAAGCCATCCTCCCACCTCAGCCTCCAAGTAGCTGGGGCTACAGGCATGTACCACCATGCCCAGCTTAAAAAAATTTTTTTTTTAAATTTTTATTCAGCATATTATGAATTTTTTTCAGCATATTATGGGGGTACAAATGTTAAGGTTACGTATATTGCCCTTGCCTTCCCTCCCCCCTCAAAAAATTCTTTAAGAATAAAATAAACAGGCCAGATACAGTGGCTCACTCCTGTTATTGTACCACTTTGGGAGGCCGAGGCGAGAGGATTGCTTAAGGCTAGGAGTTCAAGACCAGCCTGAGCAAGAGCAAGATCCTGTCTCTACAAAAAATAGAAAAATTAGCTGGGCATCATGGGGCATTGTGGTATGTGCCTATAGTTCCACCCACTCAGGAGGCTGAGGCAGGAGGATGGCTTGAGCCTAGGAGTTGGAGGCTGCAGTAAGCTATGATGACACCATTCACCATTGTTCTCTAGCTTGGGCAATATAGCAAGACCCTTCTTCCAATAAATAAATAAATAAACAAATAAATAAATAAATAAAATAAACAGTGCAATCCTTCTCTGGTATTATTTCTGACCAGGTGTCTGCATTTGGTTTATCAACAACTAAAACTCTAAAGTCAAGGAGAGCCCTAGAAATAGAAGTGTATCTAGCAAAATGGACATTCCAGGTCAGAGGGAGCAATGGGAGCACAAATGGCATATGCATTGTGAACAGGATTTCAACTTTTGTTTTCTGCAGCACAGGGATCATGAGGGAAGAAGTGGAAGGTACCCTAGGGCTGAGTCATACAGGGCTTTGAATGCCATATTAAGGACATTTGTCTTTATTCTGTAGGTCTGCAGGCATTGAATATTTATGAATGGGAGTGTGATAGTCATTCATAGTCTTTATTTAGTTTCAATGTGTCAAACACTGCCTTAGGCAGTAGGGGTACATTGCTAAACCAGATAGACAACAATTCCTGTCCTGTAGAGCTCACATTTTTAGTGGGGAAAACAGACCAAGATAATAAATTATAGACTATGTTAGGAAAAAGGAACATAGGAAAAGTGGAGCATGTTAAGCAGGTCAGGAGTGCAGTAGTATGTGGAGGAGGCAGATGTTTTCCATTTGAAATAGGATGGACAGAATAGGCTTCACTGAGCAAAACCTTGGAAGGGGGGATGAGTGAATAAGCCATATGGACAGTAGAAAAGAGCCTGCCAGGAGAGGAAAGAGCCAGTGCATGTGGCTTATTGCCTTACTGGGGAGTAATGAGGGGGTCAGTGTGACTGGAGCTGAATGGAGAGAGTGGTAGGAGATGAGATCCGAGGGATATGGAGAGTGTGCAGATCATTAGGGCCTTGTAGGCCATTGTAACAACTTTGACTTGTATTAGGAGGGAAAACAGAGCCCTTGGAAAGTTTTGAGCCAAGGAGTGACATGATATAACTTCAGTTTTCATAGTATCACTTTTTTGTGTTGAGTTCAAAATTAACTGTAGGAGAGCGAAGATGGAAACAGGGAAACAGGAGGTTACTACAGAAATCTAGGTTAGTGCTGATGATGACTTGAGCCATATCTTTGTGGACTGCAGAAAGATTATCATGGGACTGGACAACTGCTTGACTATGGGGAATGAAGGAGAGGGAGGAGACCAAATTGACATCGAAGACTAAAACCCAGACAAATGGAATGCAAGTGGAACCACTAACAAATGTTTCCCTCTTATTTGTAAAATGAGAGGCTTTGACCAGATTATCTCAAATTCCATCCAACTCTAATAGTCTCTAACTTCACACTATGTGTTTTAATATGTTAATTTAAAAAAAAAGAGAGCAGTAGAGGGGAGAGAAGATTTAAGTCTTTTCCCACAAGACCAGGTAGAAATATTACTAGCAATACTTTTTTCTTGTGTCTGTCTCCCATGGTTGAACTGTCAACATGTATACAATTGAGATACAAATTTGAAGCATTTTAGAAACATGTATACCTTATCTTGGAGAATTTGACTAAAGCAAGTCATATTTTCCCTTAATTTACATTCTTTCTTTGAAGATATAGATGTGTTTCTAATCTGTATTTTATAACCCCAAAGGAAGGGAAGACAGGGAAAACAGTAGTTGCTTGAAGAATTATATCATCTGTCTCAAAAACCCAGGTGGACAGGCATACATCTGGATGGTAGCAGGGTTAGTTGAGGCATTTTTGATACTTTGCCATTTCTTTCTCTGATTTTGCATCACAGGAAATCACAAAGCTTGTCATTGTGCATAAAACAGTTTTCTGTAACTCATGGGAAAAATTAGAGAGAAATACCTGGTAGAGAGAGAGTCATAGGGTGAATTCATCTTTCTTAAAGTGGTTTCAGTTCTGATATAAATAATCCCCCCTGTTTCCTAGGCAGTAAATATTGATTGGGGTTTGTGTCGTCAGGATGTGATGAAGACATAGTACAGAGATTGGAAGTTTAGATCCCTTAGGGAATCAATGGATTAAAAGTAGAAAAAGAGCTAAATATATAATAGTATATTTGCCCTGGCTGATATAGAGGAGGATGATCTTTAACAGCACTGGTTTGGTGGTATTTGAAGACAATTTCCTGAGATCTTAAGACCAAGGAATTCTCACTTACTTAAAAATCTTAATGGGATCCTCCCCACCAGTTAAAAGACCATGTTTTTCTTAGTGAAAAGGGATATGAGCATGCATGACCAAGTTGAAAAACATTATTCAGCTTGTATTATAAGAAATAAATATATAGGATGTGGCAGAAGGGTTAAATTGTATTCCTAACAGATAAGTTAAAAAAATGTGGTTCTTTCTTGGTCACAGCCCTAATTGGCATTGTAACATATTTTATAATATAATAAGAACTCCACTTGTATATTATTGTAAGGTCTTGAAGTATCTTCTGAGTCATGGAAGATTACTAAATTGTCAGTTATTACTTAGTATTGTTGTACTCTAATTCTTCAAATAGTAGTACCCATATATGTTATGTGGTAGTTTTCTAACTAGAATGAACCATTTCCAATGATTCTTAGTATTAGAAAACCACATGCAAAAAAAAAGTGTTGGGAGTTTTTGAAAATTGAGTATGTATTAATAGAATCACTAAGTTCAATTTTATTTAGAATATTTATAAAAGTATCCTTTAAATATCCATCACATGTAACACTGAGTTCTTAGACCAACCTGTTTTATTATATTTTACTACTGTTAAATGTGACATGTTTCTTACTGTGCATGTTATTTAATTTTGGTATCTTAAAAACATGATTATTCATTTCAAAAATTCAAAAAACCTGCAAGGGCTGATGATTTTGTTATCTCTTTTCTTACATTCGAACACTGCGGTAGTGATATCTGATCCAGAATTGACTTTGGGACTTTGAGAGCCATATTTAAAAACAAATGGATATCCTCCCAAACCTTTATTTTTAAATCTTTTTAAAAAGTTGCTTTTTTTTCCTTTTGTAAATAATGTATTATTTATATATTTAAGTTTTCTAATTCTTTTTGACTATTTACAGTTGATAAAATAAAAAAATTATTCAATTATTATTTTGTTGCTCAATGAATTTCTCTTATCTGACTGGTATTTCTTCTTTTTGTTTGTTTCCTTTTGGTTTTACTAGAACATTCAAATAAAAACTTTGGCAGATGATGTGGTAAGGTGGTCTTAGCAGCACGTTATTATATTACTTATGCATGTTGCCTTTTAATTAAAATGGGTGGACATTAAAGCATTGATGTATGTAAGATATAAAACGTCTAGATGTTTACAAATTATAGTAGAATGGAACAATTGTCAAGAGACTAGCTTTTCTTTTTTGAATATTAACCTGAACAATTGTATGAGATCCTAACAAAATTTTGATATTATCATTCCTGATATATACCTTAACCAAATGTTTTTTTAAATCTCTATATAAATCTAGACTCTGGAAAACACAAATGTTTCCTTTTTTGATAGCCAAATACATTGTGAATATATTAAACATCAATATTGGAAAAAATTAGTTTCCAATAGGAAATTAGTTCATTATGTTAGATGCTATTACATTTAAAAACCTTAAATATTTTCAAGCTGAGTCTATCATAGTGTATCTTGTTTGAAGTTATGGGCTCAAAATTTAAATGTGCATTTTATAGCTAAACTTTTAAAAATTGTATTTTAAGCAGTGTCAATTTTTTTTCTGTGTGGCATTACCTATCTTAGTCCTCTAAGGAGATGAAGGTATGTGGCTTAACTTCATTTTCTTACCAAGATATAGCTGACATCAAAAGCCAATTTTCTAGATAAAAAAGTGAAGGACATAGTAGAAGATCAAATATATATGTAAGTAATGCTACCCAATAAAAAAGCCAGTACTGTGAAAATAAATATTAAGTGATATGAAGGGAAAGGAAAACAGATAGTTTGATTTAATGGTCAATTGCACATTTAAATGCTTTCATGTCCACCGTATTTTTTAGTGAAATTTGACTGTTGGATATATATTCAGCTTATTTGGGATTACCTAATTTTTTTTCTGGAGTTGTTTGAAGATATACTACATATCTATACCAACTTAATGCCCCTCAAAGAGTGAAGAGAAAATTAGAAAATATAGTTCAAGATGATTCAAAGAAATGAATCTTAAGTTAATGTGAAGACTGAAATAGGAACCAGGGGCTTGTGAATTTAGGCAAGTCACTTTTTCTGCAAAATGAGGGAATTGGGCTAGATGATTTTTCAAGTTTCTTCTCAGCTCTAAAATATTATGATTTTTTTTTTTTTTGAGACACAGTCTCACTCTTGCCCCGGCTAGAGTGCCATGGCGTCAGCCTAGCTCACAGCAACCTCAAACTCCTAGGCTCAAGCGATTCTCCTGCCTCAGCCCTCCGGGTAGCTGGGACTACAGGCAGTGCCACCATGCCTGGCTAATTTTTTTTGTATATATATTTTAGTTAGTCAATTAATTTATTTCTATTTTTGGTAGAGACGGGGTCTCGCTCAGGCTGGTTTCAAACTCCTGACCTTGAGCGATCCTCCTGCCTCGGCCTCCCAGAGTGCTAGGATTACAGGTGTGAGCCACTGTGCCTGGCCTAAAATATTATGATTTACATAGTCTTTTTGTAAGCAACCATGTACTCAAATCAATTTCGTAAACCCAAATAAGCTGCTTAAAACTGCTCATATTTCTTTTGAAGTACACTTTTTACTTAACAAAAAATGTGCTTTGAATCAGTAAAATAAAAGGTATGTTCTTTTAATGGGATCAACATAATTTTACATATGCTCTGGTAATAATTGTTGTGATGCTTTTTGTTTTGTTGAAGTAAGACTGGTAACAGGGCAGTGAAGACGCACTGTCCTCATGTCTAACATGTCTGCTTGTTTAACGGGAGCTGATGGTGTGCATGTGCTTCCTAACAGAAACCTGAATAAAACTGAGTTGCATTCAGTTTTATGTATATTACTAATTTTTGATGTTTAATGTTTGATGGTTTGAAATAGAATGGCCTTTTACATGGAACTGCAGTCATTAACTCACTTTATGTGAAATAGCAAGCTAATTATTAGAGATTGTACATGGAATCAATGGTTCAAAGTCAATATCCATAAAATAGCAAGTTCTTCCTAACAGTATTTGTAGGAAGAAGACATTTTTGTTTGTCACATTTCCAGTAAGTGGAAAAGGGTACGTTTTTATTTTTGTTTTGGTTCCTCGTTGGTCCTACATTTCAGGAAAGAAAAAGTTGGGGAAAATAATAATAGTCACAACACAATAATAATAAATAGCAGTTAAGGGAAATAAACATGTTGACTTACTTAAGTCTCACAATAACCTTATGGTGTAGGTAATATTATCTTTATTTTAGAGATGAGGAAACAGTCATAGAGAGGCTGTTCACAGGGTTACTCAGCTAGTAAATGACAGAGCCTGAATTCGAATCCATGAAGTCTGGCTTCAGAATCCATGCTCTTAACCACTCTACTGCTACACTGACAAATTTTTTATATGTACTTATCACAACTTTTGCCACTTTGAAGAAGAGGAACATTACCATAATTTTCCCTTAGAATTAGGTATCAGTGGCTCTTTTTATGTTCTTTCTTTTTTTTTTCATAGTTTTAAAGTTGCCACCATAGACACATTCTCCCTGAAACAACCAGCAGGACTTTGATCTGAGACTTTTTTTTACCGACTTACTGTGCAAAACAGAAATGACAAGGGAATAAGTTTTACTTCTGAGGAATACTTTTCACCCCCAGACTTGTGAGGCTGAAGAGCTACTTCCAGGTTTCAAAATAGTACAATCTTTAACTGGAGCTTGCTGCTTAAAATAACATTTTATCAAAAGATGATAATGATATATATTATACTAAGTGCCATTTTGATGTTTCAGTTCTTCATGTTCGCGGTTCTTGATCTTTTTCTTAGGGCTTTTGTTGTTGTTGTTGTTTACAGCGTGACCGAATTACAAGTTTTAGAAAATCTACTGTCAAAAAAGAAAAACCTCTTATTCAACATCCTATTGATTCTCAAGTTGCGATGAGTGAGTTTCCTGCAGCTCAGCCATTATATGATGAACGATCTATGAATTTGTCAGAAAAGGAAGTACTGGATCTCTTTGAAAAAATGATGGTAAGTTAGACACCTCATTTTATTGTAATGTTAAAATATGTGTGCCCTAAATAGCACTAGGTTTTAAGTAGATGTGTTTGTGTGGACTGTGTTTATATTATGTAAAGGAGACACCAGAAACTTGTTGATACAGTAGAACTATCTGCCAAAGTATCTGTTTTTTAAGCTAAAATACCCTTAACTGTCTGTGTCTTCCACTACGAGTTCCTGAAAGTAGGGGCAATTTTATTTATCTTTGTTCTCTAATTTTAGTAGTCTCTGGCGCATTGAATCAGTTTTTCAATTAACTAATTTGCGTGCCTGTTTCTATAATGCAAAGCAGGCCTGTGTCCACTTTGCTGAAAACAGCACAAGGTCTCTTATTGGGTATGTGAAGTCGAATTGGGAGAGCAGAGGCTAAGAAGACAGTAGAGGGAACAGAGAAATTAATTTATCCAGGTTTGTTCTATTAGCAACAGTCATACAACCTCCATTTTCTAGCATGTTTCTTACGTTTTATAGCTTGTGGTCTAAATTATTTCTTAGGTAATGAATATAATATTTTGAGTATTCAGCAGTTTATGGTAGAAGAGGGGAGAAATGAAGCATCGGGCCGTATTACATTGGTTAGCTTGACCAGAGAAGAACTGGAGATCCTGATTTGTGATTCAATTCATTTAAAATTCTATCCCACTTATCACCATAAATTTTCTGTGGATGTCTGTTTATCTATAGCTAGGGTCTACAAGAGTTTCAGAGGTCCCCTTACACCAAAAAAAAAAAAAAAAAAGGTTAAGAATCTGTGAAATCTAGATCCTTCTACTCTTCCCACTGTGGAACATCTTATCCTTCACCCCTCTCCCCACCCCTATAATTTCTTTCCTGCACCTAGAAGACTTAGTAGGTCTTTAATAAATATATTCGTTGAAAGTTTACAAATGAAAATTCCATTTATCTTTAAACTTTTCCTTGATTATTCCTTGATTATTCCTTCTGTCTAGCCACAACTGGCATTTAGCTTTTTTTTTTTTTGAGACAGTCTCACTCTGTTGCCCAGGCTAGAGTGCTGTGGTGTCAGCCTAGCTCACAGCAACCTCAAACTCCTGGGCTCAAGCGATCCTACTGCCTCAGCCTCCCGAGTAGCTGGGACTACAGGCATGTGCCACCATGCCCGGCTAATTTTTTTTTCTATATATTAGTTGGCCAATTAATTTCTTTCTATTTATAGTAGAGACAGGTCTCGCTCTTGTTCAGGGTGGTTTCGAACTCCTGACCTTGAGCAATCCGCCCACCTCGGCCTCCCAGAGTGCTGGGATTATAGTCGTGAACCACCACGCCCGGCCTTCAACTCACAATTAAGGCAGATTAATAAGAGGAAAAGGTTTATTTACCATGGGTGTGGGAAGAATCACAGAGTGATTACCCAATATCCCAGTGGGATCCAGATATTTTTATACCATCCTTTTAGAAGAGAGGGGCGATGAGGAATATACCTAATTCTGTTTAGGGGCAATAAGTGGTTGCCAGGGAGGATGAACGGATGGGGTAAACAGATTGACTTGTAAATGATTCTCTTTGCAAGTTAAATTAACCAGAGAGACAGGTATTATATTTAACATGATTTGGGTTAGGTCTGATTTCAATCTTGGTCTTTTTTTTTTCCCCTACAATATATTGAGATAACAGGGAAGGGAAGTTAGTTGTTCTTTTGGGTCCATCTGGTTATGCAGATAGAGGGAACACCTCTTCCAAGGTCCTGTTGATCTCTAAGGGCCTTTAATTCAAGATAATCTTTATACCAAGGAGTCATATTTTGGGGTGAAATTTCCTGAGCTTCTTCAGACCACACCTTGGACTGTGTCATTCTTTGGAACAATTCCACCTCTAAGATCTTTAACTCTGAAATTTTCCTTGGAAGCTAAACAACCTATACTACTATTCCAAGGCCTTTAATTTTACAGAGCATGCATTGTATAGTGGTTAAGAACTGGAACTTGGGGTTATTCAGACTTGGGTTTGACTTCTGGCTTTGCCATTAATCGCGTCACCTTGTGAAGGTTATGTAAGTTCTCTAAATGTTACTTTCCTTCACTATAAAAAGATACAGGATATATTTAATATAGTTATTTTTAGGATTAAATGAAATGATATTACTAAAATAGTGCCTTGTTATATGCTTTCTTTGCTTTTAATTTTAAAATATTAAGGGGATACAAAATGTTTTTGTTACATGGACACCTTGTATAATGCTTAAGATCAGGGCTTTTACTGTGCCTGTTACCAGAATAGTGTTCATTATACCCGATAGGTAACTTTTTATCCCTCACTCCACTCCTAAGCTTTCTACATAAAGAATTTTATAAACATTTATAGCATTCCCTTTCATTATCAAATAAGCCCTATTCTTTTCTCAGTTGTCAATATTTCCTGATCACCTAGATGCCCCTCTGTTGTCCTATCTTAATTGCCAAAAACAATAATGACAACATAAATGGAAATCTTCCTTGAGATTATAAACTTTTTTTTTATTTCAGCAAATTATAGGGGTACAAATATTTAGGTTATGTAAGTTGCCCTTGCCCCGCCCCCCCATCAGAGCTTCAAGTGTGCCCATCCCCCAGATGGTGCACATCGCACTCATTATGTATGTATATACCCATCCCCTCCTCCCCGCTCCCATCCTCCTGATGCCCAATAAATGTTATTCCTACATATGCACTTAGGTATTGATCAGTGAAAACAATTTGCTGGTGAGTACATGAGGTGCTTAGTTTTCCATTCTTGGGATACTTCACTTATTAGAATGGGTCCAACTCTATCCAGGAAAATACAAGAGGTGCTATATCACCATTGTATTATAAACTTTTAATCTTTTTAAATCTTTATTCTCTCTTTACTTAGAAATTATACTTACAGCTTTAAGTTGCTGACCAATTTGGTCACGACTCTTTTGTAGTGTAGAAATAGTTCTCTGAGTTCATCAGTGGCATTGCCATATCCAGTTTTAAATACAACACTATAACACCATCTTCCACTCCATTCATTTTCCCAGTTACTTCTAGTTGCTTGCCAAATCCCATTGGTTCTGCTTTTGTATAATAACAACCATTATATCTGTGTCCTCAGTTATCTTCCAGCTGTTCTTGCCCTACTTTAGACAGTATTCCTCTCTAGTTGTTTTCTGTGGCTACTGAAATAGTCTAACTGATCTTCCTCCTGTCCTTCATGTTTTGCCTATTCTAATCCAGGATTTCCCTATTAATGATTCTGATAGAGATTCCTTTTTTGGAGCCTCAAGTGGGCTCTTATGTTTTTAGACAATCATTTTATATGTTCCTACTCCATTCCCTCAACATGACTATTTCACACCTTTACTTTGCCATTCAAACTTAGAACTCTTCCCCATCTTTATTCTCTGCTGATGACTTTGCTGCTGAATTTACTGAGTTAAATTAAATCAAGAGAGAATTTCCATAGGCTCTCACCACCACATCTACCCAACTTTTATTGATTGATTGATTGAGATAGGGTCTCACTCTGTTACCCAGGCTAGAGTGCTGTGGTGTTATCATAGCTCTCTGCAACCTCAAACTCCTGGGCTCAAGCCATCCTCCTGCTACAGGTGTGTGCTAGCACACCTAGCTAATTTTTTCTGTTTTTGGTAGAGATGGGGTCTCTTTCTTGCTCGGTCTGGTCTCCAGAGTGCTAGGATTACAGTGTGAGCCACCACACTAGCCTATCTAACTTTCAGTATCTACACTCACATAGTCTGTCTTGCTTCCTGTCACCATAGATGAACTTTTCATGTCCATATCTTTCCACTTGTATATAAGATCCTATTCTTTTTTACCTGTGCACAGATATTGCTCCAATAATTTTCTCCTCTCTTTATTTTTTTTATAATTTATTACTTTAATTTTTATTTATTTATTTTTTGTTAACAAAGTCACTGCCATTGAATCCTCTCTTTATTTTAGCATTCACAGCAACATACAAACATGTTGTCCCATCATACAAACCCTTCTCTTGACTGTATCTCTATTGCTAGCTACCACTCCATTTATTTACTCTCCTTTGAAGCAAAGCACCTCACAATAATTTTGTTTATATGCACTGTTTCCAGTTGCTCTCTTCTCACTTTATCTCCTAAATTCACTGCAACCAGGTTTCTATCCCACCTTTCCATTAAAACTGCTCTTGTCAATGTCACCAAAGCTCTTCATGCTGCTAAATTCTATGATCAGTTAATTCTCAGTTCTCATCTTAATTGACCTATCAGCAGCATTTGATATAGTTGATCATTCTCTCTAATTTGACATACTTTTTTTTTTTGTTTGTTTCCTCAACATTCATCTGGTTTTCCTCTTACCTCTCAGGCTGTTCCTTTTCAATCTTCTTTGACGATTCCCCTTTCTGTCCTCAACCTCTAAATATTGGAGAGGCCCAGGGATCAGTTCTTGGGACATCTTCTTTTCTCTATCTACACTACCTTCTTTGTTGATTGCAATCAGTCCTATGGCTTTAAATTTCATTTGTATGCTCACACTTCCTAAATTTATCTCCAGCTTAGTCCTCACATCTGAACTTCAGACTCATATTTAACTTTGTAATCAATATCTCTCTTTGGATATTTAATAGACCTCTCAAAATAATGTATACCCAACTGAAATGCTGATATTCCCATCCAAACCTGCTCCTCCAAAAGTCTTCTCCTCAGGTGACAGTATCTCCCTCCATCCACTTAAGTCAGAAAGTGTGGATTTGTCTTTCACTATTCTCTCTCTCTCTCCCTCCCCCCCTCCCTCCGTCTTATATTCCATATTCAGTTCATTAGGAAATCCTACTAGCTCTCCCTTCAAAGTAAGTTACTTGAAATAGCCAACCATTTCTTACTACTTCCACTGCACTACACTACACTAGTTGAAGTCTTACTTGAATTGTTGCAATAATGGTAGGACTGTTAGGATTACCACAATTCCTAATTGGTTCCCTTGCTTCCACCCATGACCCTCTACAGTACA